CAGTGGTTGGCAAACTCATTAGTCAACAGAGCCAAATATCAACAGTACAACGATTGAATTTTCTTTTGAGAGCCAAATTTTTTAAACTTAAACTATATAGGTAGGTACATTGTTATTAACTTAATTAGGGTACTCCTAAGCTGGCCTTTGCTAAAAACGTCCTCAATCTGATTGAGGTAGTTCACTGAGGTCGACCCCTTCCAACTCTCCCATCGACACTCGTCTTGTATACTTGTTTCGCCCAGGCCAAAACCCGACTTCTGCACATGGGCCACGAAGCTTCAATCGCACTGTACGTGCGCGCCCGCACGTGGTATTTTGTGGAACAGCCACACTCAAGGGGCCAAAGAGCCACATGTGGCTCGCGAGCCGTGGTTTGTCGACCACTGCATTAGACCATGCAATTTAAACTAAAGCTGCCTCTTTTTTTAAAAACAACATATGTTATTGAATTTTAGAGAGAGGGGGAAGGAGAGGGATAGAGAGATCGAAACATTATGGATCAGCTGCCTCCTACTCGCCCCCTACTGGGGATTGAGCCTGCAACCTGGGCATGTGCCCTGGCCCGGAATCAAACGGGTGACCTCTTGGTTCCTGGGTCAATGCTCAACCGCTGAGCTACACCCACCAGCCAGGATAAAGCTGCCTTTTGATAAGACAAAATGATAGCAAAAAGTACTCTCAAATAACTGGAAGTGGGTACACTTCTCCAGAAATGATAAGCAACAGGCTAACAGAGTTCTCAAAGCAGGAGAATTTTACCGTTGTTTGGAGGTAAGTTCTATCCCTTAGTAACTGAACTTTTGGATAGAGGAACTTAGCATTTCTACATGTTTTTCCCTGTAAAACAGCAGAACTTACCTTGAAACAACGGTGAAAAGTCTCCAGCTTCTCTCAGGCATTCAAATGCTGACCATCACTTCCTGTGTCAAACTATGTCAGCAGACAAGACTTCTGGCTGGGAAGTAGCAGTGAAATGCCCTCTCCCACAGGGGGACAGCAGCACTACTCACAGTCAGGGGGACAGTGAAATGGTGACAGCACTGCTAAGACAGCGGCAAGGTTTGCTGAATATCTTACCAGCTTAATGACTGGGCGCTGGAACAGGCTGCATGGACTGCCAGTTAAGGACAAATTAGTAAAAGTCTTTCATTTCCTCTTCATCTGAGAAACGGCCAGAACCCTGAACTATCTCTCCATCACACTGAGAAGAGGTTCTTTTATTTTAAAAATACAACAAGGTAAAATGTGAATAAAAGAAGCCCTTTAGGTTGTGCCGGTTAGGGTACCCTAACTCTTAGGCAGAGGCTAAGAAGTTTTCTCAACAAGAAACCTTACAGTTTTAAACGATGCCTAACTGTGTAGCTGGTGATACAGGACATCATGCCAGATGGAAGAGGACAAGCTCACCCAAACAAGCAGCTGCAGAACACATTTCACATTTTAAAATTCATAAATCATGAGTTCTCCACAAGTAAGGCCCAAAACCACCCTTTTCTCAGGAACATTTTGCTATTTCTTTGAGAACTGTCTATAGGCCTAATGGTAGCACATTAAAGACGTCTGGTAGTTGGCAAGACTTCTGGGTTGATTTCAGATTGACACCTGCCACATTAAACACCATAAATCCACATTATAGGTGGGAAAACAAAGATCAGTATTATTCAAAATGTAGACAGTGTTTACTTGTAACCTAGGGATGTAAGAGGTGACGACAGAACATACCTTGTAAAGCTTTTGGATATGCTGTAGGAGAAAGCAAGCAGACTAGTGGCTGTCCAAATAAGTTTGTGAAATTCTGCAATATATAAGAATTAAAATGTTCATTAAAGGTTTGACCAAAGATAGTAATTTTCCAAAGCATATCATCAGTGTTCAGATTGGGCTCTTTGACTCATAAGCAGCTGCAGAAACATCAGTAACAGCTGAAGAGGCTGCCATTCATGTATAAACTACTATGCATGATAGGCTTTCTTAAAATAGTGACATTTACTAAGTGAAATACCAATTTTTAAAATAAAGGCATAGATACGGTTGCAGTGTTACAAGGAGAGGTCATCTGGCCATCTACCAAGAGGCCACCCACTGGGCAATATACACGATGAAGCTGTATTCACAAGGGTGAATTTTCCAAGGTCTAAGGTCTGGCTCTCAGCCTCACAGGCTCTAAAACCTGACTCATTGGTCAGAAGCGTAGATCCATCTCTCACTGTGAATCACATTACCTGCTCACTCAGAATAATGTTAATTTACAGTGAGAACTAAACTGACACTCAAAAAATACTCTTTGCATGATTTCAGCATATCCTTTCCCTAAAGGCAGATTTACATGGGAAATCCTATATAATAAAAGGCTAATATGCAAATCGACTGGTCACTATGATGTGCACTGACCACCAGGGGGCAGACACTCAATGCAGGAGCTGCCCCCTGGTGATCAGTGCTCTCCTACAGGGGGAGCGCCACTCAGCCACAAGCAGGGCTCACAGCTGGCAGAGCGCAGCAGCGGTGGTGGGAGCCTCTCCCAGCGGCAGTGCTAAGGATGTCCGACTGATGGCTTAGGCCTGCTCCCCCCTAAGCCATCAGTCAGACATCCCCCGAGGGCTCCCGGATTGCAAGAGGGCACAGGCCGATCTGAGGGATGCCCCCCACCACCACATGCACGAATTTTGTGCACCAGGCCTCTAGTAACATTATAAACTGGTTGGTAAAACAAGACAGAACTTAATAGATGTGAACAAAACAAAAATTAAAACTTCCTGAATTATAAAAATAAAGACTAGGACAAATGGAAAGACATACTATGTTCTTAGACAGGAACCCATCCTAAAGATGTCATTACACTAATTTATTAAAATGTAATCCCTGGCCTTGTGGCTCGGCTGGTTGGAGCATTGTCCCATACACCAAAAAAATGTAAACCAACCTCAAAAAAAAAAAAATGGTTCAGTTCCCTGCAACTGAAAAAAATAATTCTAAAGTTCATAAAGAAAAAGTAGACGAGTCAGGAAAACTCTGCATTCAAAAGAAGAGCTGAGAGAGAACAAGACTCATCAGATATTAAAACATATTTTAAAGCCTCAGTAATTAAAAATATGTGGCCCTGGCCTAAGAGTGGGCAGAAGACCAATGGAAGAGAATGGAGAGTACAGAATTAGATCCCAAAACAGATAGGGCTGAATATATATAAGGATGACAATTCAAATTGGTAGGAAAAACTGGATAGCCATGTAGAAAAAAAAAGTTGGCTCTATACTTCCAACACACACTAGGATAAAATATGTCAAAGATTTAAATGTAAAATATCCTATATAATAAAACTCTAATATGCAAATCAACTGAACGGTAGAACAACCGGCAGAATGACTGGTCGCTATGACATGCACTGACCACCAGGGGGCAGACGCTCAATGCAGGAGCTGCCCCCTGGTGGTCAGTGTGCTCCCACGGGGGAGCACCACTCAGCCAGAAGCTGGGCTCATGACTGACGAGCGCAGTGGTGGTGGCGGGAGCCTCTCCCGTCTCTGTTGCAGGTGGGCGGTAAGGAGCAAGGGGTCCCGAACTGTGAGAGATCGGGTCTAAGCTGGCAGGTCCTAAGGGGTCCTGGACTGTGAGAAGGCACAGGCTGGGCTGAGGGGACCTCCCCCCGCACAGTGCACGAATTTCGTGTACTGGGCCTCTAGTTAAACAATAAAAGTACTGAAAGAAAATATAAGAAAGGGTTATTTTTGTAACCTAGAAGATCTTCCTATTATGATTATGATTAATAAACCTAGTCACAAAAATCAAAGGCTTATATATAGTAAAATACAGCATAAACTAAATCAGGAGCCAAATGATGTTCTGGGATATATATTTGCAACTCACATTACAAAGGATTAATCTCTTTAATATAGAAATAACTTCTCCCAATCCGTAAGAAAAAGTCTACTGACTCAATAGAAAAATGGGTGAAAGATAACAAGAGAATTAATAGAAAACTGAATACAATTGGTTCAAATGTATGAAAGGTACTCAATCTTACTGATAAAAGAAAATCAAAGCTACACTAAATTACCATTTTTAATATATCAGTTTAGTAAAATTTCTAAAAGTTTGAAAATATAGTGCTCTCTTCGGCAGCACATATACTAAAAGGTGAAAATATATGCTATTGGCAAAAATATGGGAAAACAAATACCCATAAATAGGAGTATATATTAGTACAAATTTTTTAGGAGACAATTTGGCAGGATCTATTAAATTCAAATGCATATTCCATTAACACAGCAATTCCACAACTTGGAACTTACCCTGTCAATATACTCTCAAACCTGTAAGTCCTAAATTATTTCATGTAGCATTGTTACTAATAGTAAAGGACTGGAAACAACCAAATGACCAGCAATAAGAGACTGGTAGAATAAATTATGGCACAACCATACCACAGGATACTATGCAGCTACAAGAAAGAATTAAGTTCTTTATGAATGGACATGGATAGATCTCCAACATTTCTTAGTAGTGAAAAAAAGTAAGATAGAGCAGTTGTGTATGTCATGTTACTACCATTTATATAGCAAAGAAGACTAAAGGCTATGTATGTGTTTTGGCTTATATATGCACTTAAATTTTTTTTCTAGAAGGATAAACAAGAAACAGACAACAGTGATCACTTATAGGGAGAGCCAGTAACTGAGTGAACTGGGTCTGGGAGGGATGAAGAGATTTCACTATATGCCTTTTTGATTTTATGACTTTGTAAATATCAATACAAACACTTAAACAAATAGTTAAAATAAATGAGAAATTTCTTGTAATCAAAACAAAGGGAGTAAGTTGAATGATATTAAGGCGCACCCTTCAGATAAGGCAGCGTGGGCACTCTCCCACACTGCGGACGGCCTCTGCGTCCTTGGCCATGAGGCTCTTGCTCTTGGATAGTGCCAAAAGGAACACTGCCGCTACTTATGTCCCAAGGCTTCCTTTTTCTTTGCTTCCCTTGCTGATCAACTTCTCATCTGATTTTTTAAAAAACTGTGTAAAAAGAGTTAGGGTTAGCATAACAAACCTGACTGCTATCCTTTGAAAGGCCTGCTTACAAGGTTCGGCCCTTGGCTGGCTTCTGGGAACTTAGATTTGGGTGAGTTGCCACCATTAGCAGAACCGATAAGAATGGCTCACTTTACCCAGACTGTGCAAACAAGATGGTTTATGTTGAACACCTGCTTTCTTTCTGGGAGATTGGCATTTGGTGTGATCACTCTCCAATAAACATCCTGGGCAACAAGTCCCTCATGAGCTGCCCTGGTAGACACTTCAGCCGTGTTGTCTCAACTTGTTGCTGGGGAAGTAGGGACATCCTGTGTGACTGTGGGAGAAAACTCTTGGAAGTTTGAGCCTATTTTGCTCTGGACTTCATCCTATGGACCTTTTTCCTTTGCTAATTTTGCTCTGTATCCCTTTACTGTAATACATACACTGATGTATGACTATATGCTTAGACCCAGGAGCCAAGAACCAGAGAACTTCTAGAAATGAAAGTAACCACAACCAACATATAACTCATATGGGTTTAATAGCAAGTTAGTCACTGCTAAAGAAAGAATTTGTAAATTGAAAGATAGCTCAGAAGAAATTATCCAAATCTCAAACAGAGAAAAAAAAGTTGGAAAATATAGAAGTTAAGAGATGTAGAAGACAGTGAGAATGCTATGTACTAGTCTATATAATAAAAGCCCAGCGACAGTTACAGCAGAACAACCAGAATGACCAGTCGCTATGACACACACTGACCACCAGGGGCAGATGCTCAATGCAGGAGCTGCCCCCTGGTGGTCAGTGCGCTCCCACAGCTGGAGCACCGCTCCATCAGAAGCCGGGCTCACAGCTGGCAAGTGTAGCGGTGGTGGCAGGAGCCTCTCCTGCCTCCATGGCAGCATTAAGGAGTAGCAAGCCAAGTGGTAAGGAGCGAGCAGGAGGGCAGTTAGGAGCAAGGGGTCCCGGATTGCGAGAGGAATGTATGACTGCCGGTTTAGGCCCACTGTCTGTCTGGGCCTAAACCAGCAGTCGGACATCCCCCCAAGGGGTCCCAGATTGTGAGAGGGCCCTGCCGGGCTGAGAGACACCCCCCACACACACACGAATTTCATGCATCGGGCCTCTAGTATGTATATAATCAAAGTTCCAGAAGGAGATGAGAGAAAAGTTGGGGTACAGCCAGTGTTTGAGGAGACAATGACTGAGAATTTTCCAGCATTTATGAAAAACCCCAACCTTCCTATTCAAGAAGTCTAACAAGTCCCAATAGATTAACTCTAAAGAAACAAAACCTAGAACTCACAGTGTAACTACAGAATGCCAAAAACTTTCAAAGGAGCAGGAAAGAAACAGAATGTGTGAGGCTGACTGGCAGAAGAGCTTTCATAATCTTGCTAGGAGAGTGACTGCCTTAATAGACTGCAGCAACCTGCAGCCATCAGTCAACGAGGATAAGGTTGTTTAGATAAATATGACTGTCTGACAAATGAGTAATTCATGTTCACTGGCAGGGATCCAGCCTTGTCATAATTACTAAAACACTCAAAGGTTGTTCTTTCAAAAAAAAAGAAGGCAGAACTAAAAGAAGTGCTCAGAATGACCATGCGATTTTTTTCACTCCCACTAGTACTACCTTAGTACAGACAAGGCCACTTCTACTCGCCTCTTCTCTAGTGGAAATCTGAGAACCACAACGTGGGCCAGACGTTACACAGATCTTGGCATTTCCGTCACTCTCCTCTGTAATGAGGCTCAGACGAGCACGCAAAGCTCCTCTTTTCCAAAGTGGAAAGAGCTGGGGTTTTGGAATGACAAAAACTGCTGGGATCGGTTAGGCAGGTTAGTTCATCTCCATAGGCAAAGTTTCCTCAACTATAAGGATAATAGTACCTATCTTCACTTAAGCATTCAACATATATTTACTAAGAACCTTTTAGGTGTGAGGCCTGGGGACATAAAGATACATGAATATACACATATAAACACATACACAGAGACTTGAGGGAAAACATAGCCTAGTGCTGATCATCAAACCTTTACATTCCAGGCAGAATAGTTGAGTCTGCTCTGGGGAATATAACGAGACCATGAAGACAGACCTAAAGACACATCAGAGACTAACCAACTAACTGGCCCAACTAGACTGAGCAGCTCAGCATGACAAGCCCTATTCACCACCTCAGATATTCTATTTTCCTAGCTTCCACTCTTAAATCTGAGCAGATAGGCAAAAATTACAATACTCTGAGGAAAGTCTCTAATATGATATATGCAGGCAAAACAAACAGAAACACATCAGCCTGGAGGAAACAGACAGCAGGGAGAACTTTTAAAGTGATCACTGACAGTCCTGGCTGGTGTGGCTCAGCTGGTTGGAGCATCATCCTGTGCACTGTGGAAACAGCTGGCACATATCATGAAAGATATTTTGACATTATAAAAGGTGCTATCAAATAATATCCAGGTAAGTTGAGAGACATTACTAGGTTGCTAAAACACTCCCAATGCATGCTGGAGCATATATACAATACATTTGACCAGGTGCATCAACATATCCTGTCACATCTTTAAACTGTAGCAAACAATTCCTTTGACGAAGACACAGATGCTTCTTGGGAATTCTGTGAAGACACCAATGCCTGGACTCCTCTGGTTTTATAAGTTTAGAAGGGATAGCTAATAAACTGTTCCTTCAGCAACCTCTCACCCCTTCAAAAAGATTAAAAACAACAACATACACCAGATTTAAGAAAAGTGTCAGCTAGTTTTCCTCAAAACCAAAGTTGTAAACTTGACTTTTCAGGCAATATGCTGAAAAGTTTAGGGTAGGTTGGCTGCTCTTGGAATTCAGACTTTAAAAAGTGAAACTAAACATAAAAATTAGATAAAAAATATATGCTTGAGGTCAGCTCCCTTGGCTACCAGACACTTCCACTGCTCTCCTGAAATAAACCTACCAATGCTTGCTTCTCCATCTAATTATATGAACATCCACAACAAAAATAGTTTTAAATGGCAGTTTTAATATGCAGATCCAAGCATATTTCTGAACATATTGTTCACTAATGAAATATTCCAACCACATACAAAGGACTCCAAAAATTCTGTTTTTATTTTCCTGTAAGTTACTATAGTTTGAAATCTACTATCCTACTTTAAAGTGTTTTGCTGCTGTTCTTTATATAATCACTGAAAAACATTGCTTCAATAGCAAAATATAAAACAAAGGATTTTCAAGTTATATCCTTGTCACTTATTTCAGCATTTTACTTATTTTTCACAATTTTTTATATAAGTGCATGTAAAACTATTTTGATATTCAATGGCTGTAACTGTAAGACATGGCACTTAAACCATAGCAGCTCAAGTGCATAGATGGGGAAAGGGTCTCAAAACTAGAAAATGTGCCCACATACTTCTACCTCTATAAAAGAAAATTATTCTGGGTTATACAACAAAAGTCAACCTTCCACCAGAGATCTTGGGAATCTTGAATTTTTTTTCCTGCAGGAGGATTTATTATTTTCCACTGAGTGTCCATTCATGCGTTTTCTTCTTGTTTCTATTCATAGCACCAGATCCTGACTAGCATGCACAACCTCAAAAGAAAAGAAAGACTAAATACAAACTGTGTAAAATGAAATAAAATAAAGCAAAATAAAAAGGCACATGTTAAGACTGGTTACCTCGGGGTGCTGCCATAATGTCTAACACGTGCCCTGGCGCTCATGGAACTCACCTTATATGCGACACTATTGGATGAATCCACGATGATAAACAGGGGCTTCCTCGTGAAGGGGTAGAGATCTCCAGGATGGAGGCTGGGAAAACAATAATAATGAAAAATAACTGAGTAACTATACCGCCAAGTCTTAGAATTTTTCTTCTTCAGTTTGGTCTGCTCACGTCTCCTTTTCATCGTAGCACGAGAGAAAAACAAAGATTAATTAAGCAAAAGACAAAAAAATCTCTGTATTAAGTTTTATTTGGAAAAAAATTCAGAGATAATTATTTCACAAGAATATCTAAACATACAGCGTGAAAATCTCAGAAGTCAGCATTTAGGTACTTTAGTATTTAAAAGCCCATTTAAAAACATATTTTTAAGACAAACATGTAAAACACAACCAGATTTGTATTTCAATGAGTTTTTCAAAATCTATACCTATTTTCAAGCTATATCTTAATATTTCAGAAAATAATAGGGGCTTCCCTTTACTATTCTTTATGTTTTCTCTGGATATTGCATCAGAATCAGTTGGGTGCTTCTTAAACATCTAGATTCACTGGCCCACAGAAGATCTACTAGACCCAAAGGCTAAAAGTCCAGTAACAAGAATTTGAGAGCCACTGCCTAAGATCACAATCTTGGTATGCTCTTTCTAGCTTAGTGGACAATGTGTGTGTGTGTGTGTGTGTGTGTGTGTGTGTGTGTGAACAGTGCCTGACATATAACTGATACTCAATGAAAAATTTAAAATATATATGTATCAGCCCAAAATTCTAATTTCCTAGGATAGTCAAGATGGAAGTATTGCTAGAATCCAAATAAGTGTTATTAACAGTAGCCTAAGAGAACATTTCTAGTACCAGAAAAGTCCCCATTTCACTTAATATTTCATAGGAGAGAACTACAATTTTTATGGTAGGGAGACACTAGAATACATACCAGTGCATTTCTTTGTGGGATTGATTGCGTTTGTGCATGGCATCTCCATTTATAATATCCCGGTTACTATTAGTAAGAACCCCTCCAAAATCATAAGGACCTATGAAAACAAAGGGAAGAATCCTAGACTTCAATCAGAGAGTAACATGATTCTGATGTTCAAAGGTATTATGTGAATCTCTCCCAGATATAAGTGGAAAATAATTACAAAACATTTTAATTATTTTAAAATTTAACATTCTCCTTTAATACAGTATTTAAATGATTTCAGCATGTTGCCTAGTTCAACATTTAAAAAAATCATTTAACTACTCATCAGTTCTTCAAACAGAATATAATGAGAAACAAAACAAGAATCCATGGCACCCCATTATTCCGGGCAATAAAAGTGATGCAGATCTGAGATGCTCAAAATGATCTTTACATTTCAAGCAAAATTAAAACCTCAGGTTTAACAAAACTATCTACGTGAAAAATTGCAGACTGATGCCCTAATAATTTCTTAAATAAAAGTGTAAGTAAGCCATTAATTGTAAAATTTAGAAAAAAATGTGGAATAAAACTTGAAAATTCTCATTGAAAAAATCTTTATTTTTAAGAAAATAATTAACAAGTTTCAGTGTGTGAAAAAATCCATTATCACTATTATACCAACCACTGTAGTTCCAGTTTTGAAGTTAGCCTTTGCCCACTGGTTATATCAGTTAGTTAAACTCCTGTCTAAATGGCACAGCAACCGAGGGGTGTTAGGAATAATTTCTCTCAAAGGATTACTCAATTAGTGCCTATTGCAGTACTAATGTACTTTGAAAAAAGTAAAATGGGGTCAATATATTAAGCAGGGGCCCAGAAAATCTGATTCAACAGTAGAAAAATAGAAATAATTATTTATAAATAAAATAAACTTTACTACAAGAAATTAGTTTATGACTTCACACCACATTTAATGCTGTTATATTTTATCCCTTAAAAAAGCACTGCAATGAAAAGGCTTTGAGGTTTATTTTGTTTTGTTTTCATTTTACCACATTAAGAGGATCTGTAGGTCATGCAAGGAAGATGGCAGGGACATGCATTGTATAAAGGAATGCAAATTTCAACAAACATGAGGAGGAAAATGTTAAGGATGTTAAGGAAAAAAATTTTTTTTTGTCCAGACAGAGATTTAAATGCCTCATTTACATCCCAGTTACTCACCTATTCTGACCAATTTCATATATTCTGGACTCATTTATTCTGGACAGTTTTAAGTTTTTATTCTGAAACAGCATCCCAATATTCTATAGGTTGAATCCATAAAAACCAAATAAAGAAAGGACAGAAAACAAAATCATGACAAGGACTTGAACTTTCACAGTTACAAAAGTGTACTGATTTCTACAAAGACTTTCAGCCACATGAAGCCACTGACCAGATTCCCTAAAGCACTGAAGGCTCAGAAAATTTTAATGATGTGAAGTAGATCATTAGGCTTCGTTATTTCATATGTATGTGTGCTTCTGGCAAATCTGATAGTGAGGCACACACATTTAGTATGTGAATTTGCTGATGATTTGTGGAGTTCAATGTATAATATTTCAGCAAATAAAGTAGACTGAGGTATCTATAACATTGCCAATTCAACAAATAGATCAGGTTTCCAATTTAGAAGCCTCTCTAGAAAGTTGGAGATGGTCTGTGGGCTACAGGCCATCGTCTTGTAGAAAATAAAGAGAATTCAAGCCCGGCTCACACAGGAGCATTCCTTTATTGTACCTTCACTATCAGAACGACCTGTTGGGAAAACGCCAGTGGCTGACAGGTAAATCAGAAGCACGCTATTGGCAGGCAGCTCCTGAAATTTAAAAAATCACATATACAAAACAACAAACAGGGAAAACAACAGTTTCATTTAAAGCTCATGACACTTTAAAGGTGTGGGGAAAAAAGCACCTAATCAAACATACTACTGTCTTCTCCAAGAGAAGAGCCACTCTTGCTGGTTCCAACTCCTGTCTACTCAGCCAAGATTCATTATAATCTACAATCTACAATGACTGCCAAACGTTTTTAAGACATTCTCTGCCTTAAAACGCCCATCATTTAGAAAATGTCCTCTGGAAAACTTGAAATGGAGAAGTAAATATCCTGACTATAGAGACGTCTAAAAGACAAACTCCCATCTATGGCTTTCACTATTAAACTTTGGGAGGAATTCCCTACTCCTCATAGCTCTTTCAATGACCAAAATATTTCTGAGCAGGTCTGAGCAACCTGCTCCGGATTTTTAAGTTCTGCACTGACTCTTATACCTACAGTAGTTTAGTAATAAAAACCTGGAGAAAGGAAAGTAATTAAGAAATAGTCTCATTAATTAATGGCAATAAGCATTCAGAGCCTGTAAGCAATTTCCATCCTGAAAATAACTATGATTAGGATACTCTAAGCAGCAGTTCTCAACCTGTGGGTCGCGAACAATGAAAATACATCCTGCATATCAGATATTTACATTACGATTCATAACAGTAGCAAAATTACAGTTATGAATTAGCAACAAAAATAATTTTATGGTTGGGGGTCACCACAACATGAGGAACTGTATTAAAGGGTCGCGGCATTAGGAAGGTTGAGAACCACTAAAGGCAGTTTCAATTTCATACTTTACTTAAATTCTTGACTCAGATATTCAAAGAGAAGAGTGACTCTCAGATTCCATTCAGGGCACACTTTTCCCATATAGTAAAAATATTGGGTCAAATATACCTTAAAAGATGCTGCTAAGAATGTGTACAGTTGGCTGAAGGTGGGTTTGTAGAGCAGGTACTTGTGGGGATTTTCTCGCCTGGTAGGCTTGTCAGCTGATTCCTGTATTTACACACAGAAAATAATATCCATACAAGCTGTATTTGACAGATGAATTATCAATGCCTATTTTTACTATCCTCTTCATCAAATATATTTTTGTTACTATTATTATGCTTATCTATATTTCCTATTCTTCATCAAGAGAGCTTTTTTTTTTTTTCCTGATGCACTTCCCCCCATAATCTGGAAAATACAAAATGACATCTACCACCACAGACCTACACATAGTCATATATGAGACCCAGGGACCTTTATTCATGGGACTTCGAAGTAAAGCCTGCCCTTCCTGCACGTTGCAAGTTTCTTCTGGTTCCATAATATTTCATATTAACTAGTATGTCTTTTCCTATGTCTTCTGTGCATATTAACTTTCTACCAAAGGCAGCAATAGAACTTAGCAAGTATTTCGTGAATCCATCTGGCACCTCCTAGATGAGGTCAAGGTTCTCTGAGCTCCAGGAGTGGGGGGCGGGGGGTAGTCAAAGGCTAAAAAGAGGAGATAGAGAAAGAACTTGGTGGTGCCAGAGTCTGAAGAGCCAACTTGGAAAGTCATCTCAGACAGGAGCAGAGCCAGCATTTGAGGGCTGCCCGGTCTCTGCTCCTGCCAGTATTGCCCTTTCACCAGCTTGGCATGTGCTGACAAGAGAGCTCTTCTAAAAACATTTATTGACTGATTGATTTGAGAGAGAGAGAAACATCGACCCATTGCTTCACCTATCCATTGGTTGAATCTTGCATGTGCTCTGACTGGGATCAAGCCTGTAACCCTGGTGCATCAGGACAACATTCCAACTGAGCCACCCTGCCAGGGCAAGGGAACTCTTTATTCACACTCAAAGCATTTGTTGGATAATAGCATTCCATGCAGAGCAGAAGCAGTAAGAGTGTTACCAAAATTGCAAAAGTAGGGAGAAGGTACCTGCATTCCTGACTTATTCATCTGGGAAGCTAAATTCATTGGCTCCCTTTCCAGGGCTTGTAACATCCGGAACATGTCAACAGTTAGTTCACTGAACTTAACCTGCAAGGAACACAAACCTGACCATTGATGCAGAACGCAGACCTTGAAGTCTTAAATCATATTATTAATCTTGACATTCATGTGTACTTAATGACACTAGGTATTTTCTTTTCCAGGATTTTATTATCAAAAATTTCAAAAGATAGAAGACTGAAAGAATTATACAGTAACACCAATATGCTTATCAACTAGATCCTACAACATTAACATTTTTCTATATTTGCTTTATCACATACTCTCCATCTATTTATATACCTATCAATCCATCAATTTCCTCAAGTACTTTTAGAAACAAATAAAAGTAGTCATGTAAACAGAGACCTATTTTAGATCCTATAAAACTTGCTAATTTTTGGCAAAACAGTGAGGCTAAAATATGGCAGTGGCCCATATTTTATAACCTCTTCATTACATTTTGGTACTTTACAATGTTTAAGACACATTCTTTTTTCTACTTTGAAAAGACAACATTGTATTTAAATTAAAACATTCTAATTTAGAAATCTGTGAATTAATGGCTATAAAAACCAAAGTTGGAAAAGTTCTAGAAAAAGTTAACAATAACAAAAATGATAGGTGTAAGGAAGTATCCAAAATTAAAATGTATAAGTAATGCACATAGAAAAATATCCTCACTGGTGACTTTTCCAATATTCCATATTTCCAGTAAATTACATTTCCAGTACATTAAATTAATTATGCAACTATTCTGTCATGAAAAAATATTTGAAATTTGCTTTTGACAAATGTACCTAAAAATAACCCCTCCTCTGACCAGCTGATGTCGCTCAGCGGATTGAGCATCATCCCATGGACCACGAGGTCCGGGGTTTGATTCCTGGTCAGGGCACATGCCCAGGTTGTGGGCTCAATCCCCAGTATGGGGTGTGCAGGAGACAACTGATCGATGTGTTTTTCTCATTGATGTTTCTCTCTCTCTCCCCTTCTCTTTCTCTCCATCTAAAAATCAATAAAAACATATTTTAAAAAAACAACAACCCTCCTCTCTTTTTGCCTGATTACAATATATACAGATTTGGAAAGTTGTGAAGAAGAAAATAAAAACCACCTATAATTCTGCTATGCAGAGGTAGAGGTAAACCTTTAATGATATTGGTGAATTTCTCCTTGGTCTTTTCCCTATGCATATATGTATATAGACGTTTTAACACACAGGGTAATTTTGTTTACATACTAGCTCCATAACAAACTTCTTTTCCCTTACCATATCATGAGTATCTTCCTTTGTGATTAAAAATTCTTTCTAAACCACTTAAATGTCTGTAACATAGTCCATAAATGGACACAGCGTAATTTATTTAAACATTTCCTCACAAATGGATGTTAGGATATTTACAACAGGGTTATTAATAACCCTGTAATAATAAAAAGCACTATTTTTCAAAGTGGTTTTTCGGCATACTTCCTTCACAATTCTTTACCTGGTTATTACAATTACCAATGATGAGCGCGTCAGCCAGAGACAGCTGTCCCACAATCATGCCCTGTTCCAGCAGGGGGGCTCCTGTTTCAGCAAGGCGGTTAGATGTGATAACAATGGTATTATCATCATTCAACACCATTACGGGGTCTGCCTGGAGAGAAGAGCCAAGACAAAACGTCAGTCTAGTAAGTTATTCCTTTTTGATATTTACACACAGTAAACATGTACACCCCATAGGAATTTACTTATCCGTAACTATGACGACCTTTCTTGTCAAAAACTGACCTCGATAAAAGCTGCGACTTCTTGAAGCACCAGGTTCCACTCCACTTGATCTTCAGTATTAAAGCGGTGAGTGTAATCTTCAATTTCATCGGACAATTCCTGATTTTAACGTATCACAAAGAAAATGGGTATAGAAAAAAAAAAGACAGCTATGAGGTACCATATTCCTGAGAGAAATTGACATAGTTAAGAAGTTTATTATCGCCGAAACCGGTTTGGCTCAGTGGATAGAGCGTCGGCCTGCAGACTGAAAGGTCCCAGGTTCGATTCCGGTCAAGGGCATGTACCTGGGTTGCGGGCACATCCCCAGTAGGAGATGTGCAGGAGGCAGCTGATCGATGTTTCTCTCTCATTGATGTTTCTAACTCTCTATCTCTCTCTCCCTTCCTCTCTGTAAAAAATCAATAAAATACATTTAACAAAAAAAAAAGAAGTTTATTATCAATATACAGTCTCAATCTTAACCAAAAACAAAGAATAAAAACTACATGGATTTATCTCAAAATCAAAAACTCCAGAATGACACACATCAGTAAGATCTTCAGAGATCCCGAGAGACCCATACTGAGTAGGTATAACTTTATTTTAAAATTTATTTTATTTTTAATGTTTTTATTTATTTCAAAGAGGAAGGGAGAGGGAGAGAGAGACAGAAACATCAATGATGAGAATCATTGATCGGCTGCCTCCTGTATGCCCCTCACTGGGGATTGAGCCCACACCCAGGCATGTGCCCTAACTTGTGAACTCCTGGTTCATGGGTCAATGCTCAACCACTGAGCCACATCAGCCAGGCAAGAAATGACTTTATTAATAGAAAACTCTTACATGTAAACCCCCCAATTTTTAACATTAAAAAAATTAATACGATCTAGCTGATTTTCTTTGGATTTGCTAGTATAGCATACTGGTTTTATCTGGAAAGAGTTAATAGTAACTAGGAGTGGAGGAAGACAGAGGAAGACTTGTCAAAACTAGCATGTTATACTTGAGTACCAAAAATTAAGAAGCATGCCATTGAAACTTCTCCCTGAACAAATACAGAGTGCAGCTGGAATGTATGCAATCATCACAGATAGTAAATGAATCCCGAAAGCCGTTAACGCTTAACTGCCTGAGTTATTGGAGGACGGCGATGCAGAAATACTAAAGGAATGGGAAAAAAACAAACTCTTTCCCAATACCTTTGTCAAACATTGTGTGCTTTTTCTTGACCTAACTTTTCAACTATCTTCTTTTAAACAAAATATTTTAACTTTTTTCTGCATTTCCCGACCATCCATGGATGGGTGGTGAAATGTAAAATGTGCTGAAGGGACAAAAGCAAGGAATTAAGATAATGGTCTCTGGTCAGTCCATGTTTGAAATACGAAGAGAGTTGAAAAAAAATTTTTTATCATTGCCCTTGGCAGAAGTTACCACACTTTTAATGCTGTAATGATTTAGACATACCAAAAACTATTTTAACCTCAAATCTATTTTTAAAAAACAAAATTATCCATACACTATTAGATATTCAAATATTTTAAAGTACATTTACCTTCACCAGTTCCTTTACAACATCCATTTTGTTGAGAAGAAGACAAACTACTATAAATCTTGCATAGTATCGTAGCTTCTTAACTACCAACTCAGGTCTGTGGTAGATAAATGGAAAATTAGTCATTAGATTAAAAAAGAAAATACGCTGTTTTGACCCTATTCTGCAGTTATAAATATTTCTGCATATAACCTATAGTCTTAACATTTCTTACTGATTCATTACATAATTCATTCATTCAACAAATATCTATTGAGAACTTAGATGCATCTGGCACTATGCTAAGTGCTGGAAACAGAGGGAAAACACACACACACACAGAACTACAGACACAGTCCTTTCTCCTTCACACACACACACACACACACACACACACAGAACTACAGACACAGTCCCTTCTCCTCAGCTCTTACAGATAGAAAAATATGTAAAATATAGAGAAGACAGATAAATACTTAAAACATAGTGGAATAAGTATAATGACACGAGAAATAAAGGGTGCTATTTGAGCCCACAGGACTGGATCCTGGGTGAGAGTAAACTTCCCAGAGAGAGTAATGTTTGAGTGAAGGCTATATATAAGGAAGAGGAGCCCTAACTGGTTTGGCTCAATGGATAGAGCATCAGCCTGTGGACTGAAAGGTCTCAGGTTTGATTCCGGTCAAGGGCATGTACCTTGGTTGCGGGCACATCCCCAGTAGGGGATGTACAGGAGGCAGCTGATCAATGTTTCTCTCTCATTGATATTCTAACTCTCTATCCCTCTCCCTTCTTCTCTGTAAAAAAATCAATAAACTTTAAAAAAAAAAAAAAAGGAAGAGGAGAAGATAAGAGGCAGAAAAGCACAAGGTGAAAAGCATTCCAGGAAGAACAGTCTTTGTTTGGAGATCTTATCTTTTATATATTAATATCACCAAGCCTGTTTCCTTGTGCTGAGTGCTGACAGGCCATATCTTTTCCTTTTCCTCTGCTTTCCAGTGCCTTTGTCCTTATATTTTACCACATCTTTTACAGACAGCATATGGCTAGGTCTTGCTTTTTCATCCACTGTGGTCATCTCTGCCTCGTACACGCAGGTCCTCTGGGTTTGCGCCTCCACCTTGCTTTATTTGTTTTCGGTTTGTCCCTTCTGTGTCCGTGCCCTTTACTGCTCCTCTCTTGCTTTCTTTTCAGTTAATCTAATATATTTTAGCGTACTGTCCTCTATTGGCTTCTTACTCATACCTCTGCATTATTGTTCTTTTAGTGCTGCTAGGAGTAGCAATATGCATCCTCAACTTATGGCTTCTTACTCATACCTCTGCATTATTGTTCTTTTAGGAATAGGAGTAGCAATATGCATCCTCAACTTACCAAAGGCTTTTACAATCAATATCGTACCTCTTCACACTTATCCCTTATCAAGTGAACCTGACATTCCCAACGTCCACTTCCTGCTTTCTACATCCTACATTGCACATATAATAACCTTACAACAGTATATTTTTCGTATATGTTTGACATTTTCCATAACAAAACTTAAAATTTTTCTCTTAGACCCAGGGGTTATTTAGAAATGTGTTTACTAATTGATATGACTCTGCGCACTTGCCAGAGAAACTGTTTTCCTGGTGGCTAAATGTAGTAAAGTGCACAGAGGTTAGGACCTCTGTGTGCTTTATCTTCTCCATATCTAACTCTGACCAGGGTCAGCCTCAGCCATTTGCAACAGTTGGGGTTTGCAGCTCCTAGGACAAGTGATTACGGGGTAACATCTCCCTTTACTAAACAGGATGGGCCCATGGAAAGAGACATTGTTGAGAGTTGTCATGCTTAATGACAACAGTCACCGAGGTGAGGGCTAGAACATCTGTTCCTCTTGGCTTTGACAGAATGCTGAGGCATTGAGAGAGTGCAGAGAGAACTTGTCCCTTTGAGAAGAGACTTGTGCCTTATAAAGCAACTGTGATATTGTGGAATACTTTCTTGTTTTAATCTACTGGCTGTAGATTTTAGGAGTTGTCACCAATTGCTACCTTGACTGGCCCTCCTGCCCTATGTGAACTAAGAAACAAACAACGTACCATCTGAACTGTCCTTCCAGAAAACAAGGTCAAGATTTTGGGTTGTCCGTTGATTCTAATTTAGTGTGTTTATGGCAAGAGATTTAGTCATCCTGGTTCCAAATAATCCTACCTCCGTTCTTCTGCCCTGCTCTAGGAGGCAGCACAGGGAAACAATTGATGTGGTGTCTGCTCTTAGGATGGAAAATGATTTCCACAAATCAAACTGTTGGGTTTTAAGCCAACGGGCCTAAGGCCAATTTTCCTTTTGGCAAATTAGAAAAGTGAATTATACAAGGTATTTTACTATTGCTTAAAATAGTTCTTTGCTGATAAAATATTACATAGCCCTTTTGCATGTTCTTAGAGATACAATTTATCTCACCAAGAATTCAGATAAATTGTACAACATAAATGCAAAAAGGGGGTGACGGATGTAGGAAATATATCTATACTGAATATACGCAAAGCAAATCGTAAAAAAACCTGAAGGAAAAATAATTGATGGAACTTCTGATAGAAGAAAGAAGTAAGGCAGTAACACAGAGACCTCAGCATCGGCATACCTCACTTGTATCAAATCACCTCCTCTGGACGAGTCTGAACAAGACTTGCAAGGGCATGAAGGGGATTTACAAGAGTGGGGCTTTCCAAAAAATGTCGTCGTAGAGCTGGAAAGCTCATAAGAGCCAAGCACAAAGTGTTCTCTAGAAAGCCATGCCAAAACTATGTTTTCTTTTAAAATATATTTTTATTGATTTCAGAGAGGAAGGGAGAGGGAGAGAGAGATAGAAATATCAATGATGAAAGATAATTGATTGGCTGCTGCCTCCTGCATGCCCCACACTGGGGATCGAGCCTGCAACCTGGGCATGTGCCCTTGGCCAGAATCCAACCTGGGACCCTTCAGTCCACAGGCCCATGCTCTATCCACTGAGCCAAACCAGCTACGGCAAAACTATGTTTTCTTCTAGCACTAAGAGAATATCATCTTTTCACTTGTAACAGCTGTGAGTTTTGTTGCCGGAGGTAGAGAGAACATTCCCATCTTCTAGACCTGAACTTTCTCTTCTAACAATTCTTGAAACACTAGCAATGAAGATTCTGCGCCAGGTCCCTGGTTTCTCCCACAGTTCCACACTCCTCTGGAATTAATAGCATCACCATCTACTTGTGAACCAAAGATGTCTATAACCCCCATGAGAAGGTAATTGTCTGAAAGGGAAAGAGCACACCTGTACACCTTCTTCTTTTCTTTTCCCACCCAAGCACCGACCACACTGCCAGAGGTGTAAGTGCTCAATAGATTACCGTTGGGAATTCAGATGTCTATAACCCCCATGAGAAGGTAATTGTCTGAAAGGGAAAGAGCACACCTGTACACCTTCTTCTTTTCTTTTCCCACCCAAGCACCGACCACACTCACTGCCAGAGGTATAAGTGCTCAATAGATTACCGTTGGGAATTTAATGAATTACACCAAGTTTTTTCCTTCTAACAACTGCACGACAGTAGTGGGTTTATAAAATAAAATTCAAACAGCTGAGTGCCTTTTTGTTAGTCCTACATGACAACTGTCAATAGGCTTTTGAATGTATATGAATTAAGAGACCTGACGTTATCAGCTAAGCCTCACCCTGGAGTTGTTTCTTTTCAATGAAACTTTGTGTGATCCCAATCTCTCATAAAGAAGTAATCCACTCCTCCTTTGTGCTCTGACTCCACTGGTATTGTGACATCTGTTACAACATCTGTAATATGTATTGCTATTAGGTAACATATCTTTGCATGTTTAAGAAGGCCTGCTACATAGTAGGCATGCCATAAAACCCATGAAATGAATAAAAGTTATAAACAAATGTGTGCATTTCTGCATAATTTGCCCACAAACTAAAAATTAAGTGTTTTAAAATATAGTAGGTGCATACCTGTCTTCTTTATTGACTTGAGAATAATATGATCTCTGTCTGATTGCAGAATAGAAGGAGAAAGCCTCATTCAGATAGCTGGTCTCAGATGTGCGTAAGCTATTGAGAGAAAAAAATCTTTAAATTTGACAGTGTCTCAAATTCTTCATTATGATCAATACTTGTTCCATTATTCCTTCATTCCTGTACATGAGGATGGGAATGACTGTCCTAAATTTGAATGAGCAAAGCAATATTCATATCACCCTTAAAATGTGTAAAAATAATAATGATAATTTTTTTAAAATGCCTCCCCATTGCTCCCAATCCTTTTAGATGGCAACCCAAAGTACACATTCTTCTCATTCTTCTCAGGGACTCTCCAAACAGCATTTCCCCCCAGGACCAGACCTTTCATGACCTCCCTCAAATCCATACATAGTCACTTATCCTTTGATTAATTTCATTTTTTTCTCACGGACTTCAGAAATGGATTAATCCATATTAATCTTCAAAGGATGCTGATGAATTAGACTCTTTGTTTAGAGAACTGGGTGAAAGAAATGAAGGGACTAGTAGTTACAGAATAGTCACGGGATTAAAATACAGCATAGGGAATATAGTCAATAATATTGTAGCAACTATGTATGGTGCCAAGTGGGTACTGGAAATATCAGGGGAACACTTTGTAAAGTATACGATTGTCTAATCACTATGCTGTATACCTAAGACCAATACAATACTGAAGGAAAACTGTACTTGAAAAATTAAAAAAATAATTAAAATATACAAAACACACCACATGTCTAGTTTTACAAATGACTTCTTAAGAAAATACTCTACCCAAGAGAGTGATTTTAATGGTGGGAATTATGGGTGCCATGCCAAAAGACAGGAAGAGGAAGGAATTTTTCTGGCCTACTAAGTTACAAATGGGCCAAGTCTTTTTATGGCATACCTGGTATTACTTCATGATAATAAGATTTAGAGTCCTAAAAGGAGTTCTCTTCTGTCCCTGACTCATGGGTAGAACTACATATAGGGGTGGACAAAAGTAGGTTTATAGTTGTAAGTAACACCGAACACAGATTTTATTCTGGCATTATTATTTATTAATTATTGTATTATTTTCAAGAAGTACAACTGTAGACCTACTTTTGCCAGCCCCTGTAGATGCTGCTCTAAGGATATAATCAGAAGTATCATGTAACCTTTTAGACATATCCTACAGGTATGAATTTTAAAATATCCTCCTGAAAACCACTTATTCAAACATACAAGTTATGATATGTCTCTGCATAGTAGCAAGACTTAAGTGAAGCCATTATAAACTATAAATTCATATACCTAAAACCAAGCTCTTCCTCCTTTAAGTTATAGATGAGTCTGACCAAATGAACTGTTTGGAAGGTGAGCCATTGAAGCAAATAATGTTACTTTGATTATGGAAGGTCATTTCACAATGTAGTCTTGACCAATATGATCTGAATTACTAAGGTTTTCATTTGTAACTCCTTAGTTTTCCCTCCAACCAAGTAATATACCATGCATACTTCCGCATGCTGTGTTTAAATCAGGTCAATGCTTGATTTTTCCATATACAATTCACTTACTAATAATGGTAGTATAGCTGCCCAATCTTAGAAGCAATTTCCCCTATTTGCCACCGCTTCAAGCCATACCGATTATCCAAGACTTGTCTGTTTTATATAGGAAATAAGAAAATAGAAATAAGAGACTATAAATTTCAAAAATAACCAAATCTGTAAACTTAATAGGATAAAATGATACCCAATCCAGCATGAAATTTTAAATTCATGAATTCAGATTTATGAATTTTTCATGAGATTGAAACATAATGATTCAATTACATTCAAAAAGCATTTATTAAATGTCCATTTAATTTGAAACATAAATAGAAACTTCTTTGAGCTATGTTCATGAAAATTAGAAGCAACACCCTCAAATAGTTTTGGCCAATAAACAATACCTATTTAAGAATGAAATCATGAATCAGCCAAGCTATGCTAGGGTAGAATTCATCTGAACCATTTCACATGTAATATTTTCTTTAAAAACCCTAAGAACTTACATTTTAAAATCTTAAATAAACATTAAAAAATCGATTTTTTTTTCATTTGGGTCATGAAGATAAAATATATTAAGATGTACCCAGATAAAAAGCAGAAGGTAGTAAAGGTCAAAACTGTGATTAATATAAAATGGAGTTTCACTCTCCTTTAAATATAAAATTCCTTTACCGGTGCTGCTGCTGGAACTTCCAGAGTTTGGTGTAAACATCAAAAGTTCTTCCAAAATAGGATTGCCACTGCTTCTGCCCATATTGTGGCAAATCTCTGTAAGAACAAATACACACATTTTAATTTTAAATACATGCTACTTGGAAACTAAGTCTTATGATGACAAACTGGATAGTTTTAACAGCGTTTGCATTCAGGCTTTACTTTTTTTAAAATGTTATAATTTTTGGAGAATAGCTCTATAACAAGGGCCAGAGCTCATTCTTTCCTATTCTCTCCCCTACTTCTGACAGCTAATTCTTAGTGCGCCATGAGGTATCTACTGCTCTCTTCCCTCTCCTGGGCGATCTTATTTTACTCACTTACACAATGATAACTTCCAAATGTTTATCTCCACCTAAGAATTCAGCCCTTTGAAAACACTGCTTTAGGGGTTCTAGAAGTGAAAGCGCAGGTAGTGTTGTTCTCAAGTATTCTACCCCTTCCCTATAGGTGAAACGATTGCTCCCTGTCTTTAGGCCTGATTGTTCCTCCCTTAGACAAATACTCTACTATGCAGACACTGGAACTGCCATATAACTTGCTTTGGGCAATGAAATATAATTGTAAATTATCTACACCATATCTGAGAAGATTTTTTTAAAAATATATTTTATTGATTTTTTACAGAGTGGAAGGGAGAGGAATAGAGAGTTAGAAACATCGATCAGCTGCCTCTTGCACACCCCCCACTGGGGATGTGCCCACAACCAAGGTACATGCCCTTGACCGGAATCGAAACCGGGACCTTTCAGTCCGCAGGCCGACGCTCTATCCACTGAGCCAAACCAGGCTATCCGAGAAGATTTAAGAGCTATTCCATGGGTCAGCATTTTCACCTTTCCCTCTGACCAAAGACCAAGAAAGGGCTGCTCCTCTGCCTGGAACAGAGAGCAAGATACATTTCATACAACTTGTGGCTAACATGGGAGCTAGAAATAAACCTCTATTGCAGTAAGGCACAACAATTTTGGAGTAGTTACGGCGGCCTTACTTAGGAAAAGTCAATAGAGAAACTGGAACCAGGAGTGGGTTACTGCCATACCAAAAACATCACATATGTGAGACTGGCATTGGGAATGAGCAACAAGTAACTGTTACTGAAGACTGGAAAAATGATGACATATAACACAGCGGCAGAACTGTATTTCTGGCAATAACTTGGAAAGCAGATAATGTGACTAATGAACTTGTGGATTTATAGGAAAAAGCCAAGAGATGGTATGCTACTAGCCCTGGATGCACTTAGTTGTACTTAACAAAATACGAGAGATGAACTCAGAAAAGAACCAGCTGCAAACACGGATGGGAAGGCAAAGAGAAAAGCCACACATTCCAGAACCGGAAATACTCAACAGTTTCTAATGCAGGAGTATAAAAAAGACAATTTGAGAAATGCTAGTTTAAGACTGTGTCACATCCTCAGGGCAAAAACGAAAGCCTGTGAATAAACATAGGAGAGTGGCCTCAAATATATTCTTTCAGTGGGACAAAATAGATCAAGGAAAAGAGTCTAAGGAGTTTGCTGTCTTGTGGAATTCTGATAAGCTCAAGGTATTCCTAATGAAGTAAACTAAATCTCGTGAGAGCTATACTGCCAAAGTAATTTGTCTTATAAGGAACAACAATCATTCATTGATTACAGTGTGATACACTTCTTATCCCAGTCTGTGACTTGTCTTCTCATTTTTACTGATATGAGTAGTTATCAAACATATCACTCTTAGTCTTTATGTTTAGTGCTTTTAATATCTTTTTAAAGCAATTCACCCATACAATAACACAGTCTTTGTAAAGATATAAAGTGTTGGCTTTCAAATTTAACTCTTCAATATAACCAAAAACAAATTATATCTGAATGATTTTTAAAAAAATATTATTTTGGCCCTAGCCAGTTTGGCTCATTAAGTAGATAGAGCGTCGGCCTGCGAACTGAAAGGTCCCAGGTTCAATTCTGGTCAAGGGCACATGCCTGGGTTGTGGGCTCGATCCCCAGTGGGGGACTTGCAGGAGGCAGCCAATCCATGATTCTCTCTCATCATGGATGTTTCTATCTCTCTCCCTCCCTCTCTGAAATCAATAAAATATCTAGCAGTTGCCTGGCTGGTGGCCAGGGTGGTAGGCCACGTGTTTCTCATCATCCAACAGGGTAGCTTGAGTCTGTTCATCTGAGACTGGTTGTAAGGATCCAAAGAGCAGTAAAGGAGGTAGCCGATCAATGATTCTCTCTCATCATTGATGTTTCCATCTCTCTCTCCCTCTCCCTTCCTCTCTGAAATCAATAAAAATACATTTATATATATATATATGTTTAAGAGGAAAAAAAGGTACTATACAACATATAAAACAAGAAGTAAAAAATATCCTATTGCGTCTCCTCTCAATTCTAGCCCCCATTACAAATGTATTTTATATGTACATCTAATATACATTAAATGAGTTTTTCTATTATTTTAAATAAATGGGATCCAACTATAAAGTTTTATAACATGCCTTTTTTATAATATAACATGCCTTTTTTATTTACTAATATGTCATGTTTCTTTAATGAATACAGAATTATATCAATATTTACTATGTACAATGTAGTATATAATGAACCGCTTTAACTAATCCCTCCTGATGGACATTTATATTGCTTCCAGCTTTCCCCTGTTATAAAGATGCAATAAACATCTTCATACTTAACAAACTTGAATAGTTATGTGATACTAGAGGCCCGGTGCACAAAATTCATGCACGGGTAGGGTCCCTAGGCCTGGCCAGCAATCAGGGCCAATCTGTGGGGTGACCGGCGGGGCAATCAAGGGGTCCCCCGCTGGCACCTGCCTTGGCCGGCCTGGCGTCACCCGCTTGCTGGCCCCGCCCCCTGCCACTGCCGCCAGTCACCTCCCTCTGCAGGGCGACTGGTGGGGTAATCAGGGGGCCCCTGCTGGCACCCATCTCGGCTGGCCTGGGGCCTGTGGGCTGGGGGCAGCTCCTGTGTTGAGCGTCTGCCCCCTGGTAGTCAGTGCGGCCAGTCATCCGCTGGTCGTTCCTCCGTTCGGTTGATTTGCATATTAGGTTTTTATTATATAGGACTAGAGGCCCGGTGCACAAAAATTTGTGCACTCGGGGGGGTGGGGAGGGGGGTCCCCCAGCCCGGCCT